TCTTGTAAAGACAATCTGGTTCAGCTGTAATACTGCTGAAACAAATATATCCTCATGATATACTATTGAAATATTTACTGAAGCTCTCAAAATTTGCTGCTTTTAAAAGCTTTTAACCTGATACATACAATGATGATGATGGTGATTTGTTGAAACCATATTCCTATGTAATTATTACCAGCTGTTAACTTCATATATCTAAATGTGTATTTCTAAATCACACATGGAAATTCTTTCCTGAATATTAAAAAAAATATCCGCTGTAATAATTGCCAATCCAGAGACGCAAAAACTACTTAAAAAATATCTTCAACTGCTGGGTTGAGAAAGTGTCACTTTGATCATCTTCAGATCGGGGACTCTTCGATCCCTTTCCCCATCCGTTGTGCAAAATCTGGGAGTCTACTTGGATAGCAGTCTCTTCATGGAAAATAAAATCAAAATGAAATTAAATATTTAATCCAGATCCAGTAACCAACACTTGCTGGATCCTCCACCATTCATCCTCAAGACATTTGGTTCCCGCTCTTTTGATTCAGTTGCAACCGCACTATGGAAATCACACCCACTTAAACTACGTACAGCTCCATCTCTTCAAGTGTTCAAGAGTAACCTCAGAACACACCTTTCCAGACATGATGTAGTGTACGGGATGTCCACCAGTTGTGTGAACTTGCCTGTGTAACCTTGCTGTCATAAACCTGCTGAAATTTGATATAAAAGTATGAAAGACCCAAGAAACGTGAGACTAGAATATCCCAAGTAAATACAAACCTTGTAAAAGTCGACATCAAGAAAGACACGCGACATGTGCTGTTGGTTTCATTTAACTTTGTGCTTCAGTTTCAAGACCAACATGATGATTTTATTACTGATGAACAGCAATAGAGTTGTCGTTCTTGTTTGAAGTACTAGTAATTGTGATGTTCAATATGAAATCCATCCAGAGGGGCACGAGTCGGTATTCTCATGTCCCGGAATAACACGAGTTGGTCTTGCAGGTTACGGAAAGGGGCGAGTGGTGACGCATGTTATATTCTTGATATCACGGACACTGAGGAGGCGCGGAGCACAGAGACAGGTAACTTTCCAGCCTCTTGGGACAAGATACATTACGGTTTGTACATAAAGTACTTGTTGCTATGGTTACATGTTTATGGTGACTTATCAACTGATGACATGTTACGGTTCAGGATGCCCATAAAGTTGACTGAGTGACTGGAAGTTGTTTTAAACCTATTTTATTGTCGACAAGACAAAGGGATTAGGTCCAAGTGCACCACTTATCAACTCCCTAAATACAGTTAAACATAATATTACACAATAGTAATGTAAAATTTACAGTGGAAGCTTGACATTGTTGAAACATATACAGTGCTGATATATATACAATGTTCTGTGCAGGATATATACCTGCTGGAAAGTGAAAGGTGTAATCTCATACATTTGCAAATTTTGTACAGTAAATGTTTATTATTTATATATAGACTGAACTATGAATAAATACTGGAGCTAATAATATTAAATTAGCTGGTGAATCTGTTTTTAGTTTATATATACTTGTGTACAGACAAGAATATACTTTTATTCATCAAAGCATTTAGGTTAGGGTCACTGAATAAGATATTATGTGGTGTTTTATTGTCCTCCGAGTTTATCAATATCTGAAAATAGTGACTTCCTAAAATCATCATGTAAAGTAAATTCAAAAAGAAATGGAATGAATTTTCGCATGGCGCGCCGCAGTAACAGGCAATGACATCAGAAATGTTAACCCGAAACAGGACGAAATTTAGTGTGCTTCAACCGTGCCTCAATCTAGTGTGCAATACGTTTGTGTATTTGTTACAGCAATTACAATATGTCGGTGGCAGCGCGGACTGCCCAGATACGACAGTTTTGAAAGATGATACTGACGGACTATTCCTGACGGACTATTCCATTGGCCTAATGTATCTATATCATTGGAACTTTTGCCCGTGGAAAAGGTATAACAAAATTATGACAATTCCTGAGATTATATTTGGTATTTAACACAGATGGAGGTATCAGTAACATAATGGACATTGCTTGTTAATTAAACGCGCGGCGGGGGATATAGTATTAGGCTCCGTCCGTACGTCCCTACGTCCGTACGTACCTACGAATTGGAATATCTTAAGAACCATTGACTGGATTCTTTTCATACCTGGTACCTAGGTTCATCACAGTATAAGAAAGGTCCCAGTCAGGTTTGGTAAGTTTGACCTTCATTTCAAGTTCACCAGCTGACGTTAACGTTTTCGCGAGATATCCCAAGAACCGTTCAATGGATTTTCTTCATGTTTGACACCAAGTTTCATAGAGGTAAGGTGCAGGGCAAAGTCGAGTTTGAACTTTGAAGATTTCATTAGTTAAGATTATCAGCAAGATATCTCAAGAACGGTTCACTGGATTTTCTTCATAGATTTTCAAGACTTCTCTTGAATGTTTTTTGATAAGCAATTCTCTATTACTACTTTTTGCATATTACATCACACCATGACATTCATGTCAAGGTCAAAGTTAGTCTTGAAAATATCTGTGTGTTTGAACAGCTACAGAGCTACAGATGCTTGTGACAGTATACACTTTCGATACATGAGTTTTGAAAACAAGCGTTGGTACTTCATCTGAGGTTTTATGTGAGAATAGTATATCTTGGTTTTGTTAGAATTGAATTATACTCACCATGTCTGTGCTCGGGTATGTAAGTCTTTATTCAGTGAGTATTTATCTATATCACATGCATCTATGTGTCTGTTGTTAACGCAACTCTTAGCACTAGTCCAGCCACATGACGCCAGACTGCTAAGAACCTAACCTAAACCAGACAATCCAGTGATTGATATCTTGAGCAATATGATCCATCTTTCTGGGTGTGGCGAGTTAACAGTGACACATGTATGTACTGACCATGTGCTCCTTTCACGAAGCAACCTTTACTAAGGTTAACTTTAACTCCCAATCTTTAACATTGCACTATGGTTACCTTAGTGACTTGCGATCACCTTAGTGCTTTGTGAAAGGAGGCCCATGTAATTTAGGTCATTGAACCACATGAGTGGATGATTCCTCTTACTATCACTGGATTGTCTGGGCCAGACCGTAAAGACCCAGGTCGTCAGCAACGCATGCTTGTCGAAAAAACGACCAATTTGATGAGGTTGTCAGTCTCAGTAACGTGGTGTATGCATGCCATCGTATAATAAATGCAATGACAGAAGCTCACGGTGTCAATAGGTGGATGGCCAGGTCAACATTGAATTATTTAAAGTGACACGTGTTGACTCCCCTGAATCGGTCCGTGAAAGAACTAGGTTTCAAAAAAGTGGCAGTGCAAAGTAAAGTGGCAGTACAAATTCAGAGGAAATATAATACAAGAGCAGTGATTATAGTAATATAGACAGTGATGGTTATATTCGACTCTCGGCAACAGTGTCAAAGAATACACAATACCATTTAGAAAGTGGTCAACAGTAACACGTGTTATATTTGGGATTACACTTTCTCAGTAAAGTACAGATTCTTGTACTTTGTAGGGTTGTGTCCCATCCGGCACCTGATCATCAGGCTAACTGCCATGTTTGTGGAAGGTTTAGCTGAGTGGGTGAGACGGCTGACTTTGTTTCACTGGAACAAGTCACGAATATACTGCGTTGTCCCAGTGCTGTGTAAGTAATTCAGAGATGCCAACCTCTACGATTTTATCGTAATCTCTACGAATTAAGCCTCAAACTACGCCAACACGATTGCACTAGAAATTCTACGAAATTTGAAGAAAATTCATATCCAACAAAAACATTTTCGTCGATTAAATACCTTTTTGCCAAAAAGTGACAGGAAGAAATGTAATGCTGATACGTGTAATTTGGAAACTGGCGTTGGAGGTATGTGAAATTGAAGCTTACTCTTGATTAGTGTCATATTATCTTTCTCAGAATCTATCATGATTTTAAGTATTTCGTTGACTACTAATTTTATTGTCAGGATTTTATTGATCCTTGACACTACTATTTGCAACATTTTGGGTTGGCATCTCTGAATAATTTACTGGTCACCCAGCTACTGTCGCACACTCTTAAAGTTGTTGTGTCCAATACATTCTTGGACGGGTTCTGTGCCTTGCCCGGGGCTAGTCCCATCTCCAGTTTGGTTGGTTTGTGTACCGGAAGGAGGCCGACTAGGTTGTGATGTGAACATACATTTTCACAATGTATGTTCCGCATCCGTCCCGAAAGTCATGGTTTCTCTGATCTCTCGTAATTCGTACAGGGACGATTGTGTCAAAACAAAAATGATTTCAGGCGAGTTTGGGACTCGCTTTCATTAGAAGGGTTGTAACGATATGCACGTGCATTTTCATTTTCACGAATGCCATACGGAACCTTTTACCACGTCTGCCTTTTTAGGTGTGTTTGGTCGCATATGCTTTTTCCTCAGAAAACACACTGATGTTGGTAATACTAGTAACTGTCGATTTGGATTGAAAAACAAGTTAACAAAACGATACAATCATAAAAAAAACACCATTTTGTAAGAACAAAATCTTGCATTTGGTTTTGAAAAGCGACGTTTCTTTTGTGGATCAGTATATAAATGGATGTACTCTCTGCAACAAATATGATACCCATATCATAGATATTTTCAGAGTGCAGCAAATGTGATAAACATAAATGGATTTACTCTGCAACAAATGTCATAACGATATGACAGATATTTCCATATTGCTGCAGATGTGATAAACATAAATGGATGTACTCTGCAATAAATGTCATAACGATATGATAGATATTTCCTGATTGCAGCAGCTGTGATAAACATAAATGGATGTACTCTGCAATAAATGTCATAACCCTATCAGAGATAACAACAAAGGTCAAGGTCGTACCTAACCCATGTTGGTGTCACTTTCAGTGTAAACAATTTAAATGGCATTATGCCGAATGGCATATTCCAACGTTATGTACAGTGTCGGGGTCGGATATAGTTGAAGTATTCATTTTATAAACCGTACAATTTGTGGAGGATTTGAAGGGAGGTTTACCCCTATTATTTCTTGTTGTGGTGGGTATGGTGTTTTTTTTTAATTGTTAAGTCTAGCGTGAGAGACCGAAGTCCGCGTATGATCACGAGGCAGGCCACATTGTAAAATTAACCCAATTTACAAATCAATAAAGTATCCATAAAAGAATGTGTGACACTATAACTTCGGAGGTAATATAATACAAGCATAATGATGATAGCAATGAAGACAGTGATGGTAATCATATACACATCTCTGCAACAGAACAATAAGTTCTGGGCAAGAGTATCCCAGGTGGAGGTTGATCACACAATATGCTGGTGTTCTTGAGACTTGAGACATGAGGGACAAGAGTTAACACGCCTAACATACCTAACAAAAAAGATGCTAGAATATTCTACACTAGTGCAGATGATTCTCGAAGTTTCTTGTTGCCCTTTCCAGATCATTCTTCTAAATGTGAGAAAGGCTAAATATAGCACACTATATTAAATAGTATTATATTAAATATAGCTATCCATTACAGAATCATAGCAACAGATGAGCGTCCTGTTACTGTCTCAGCTGATCAGATCTGGTGCAAGACAACCTGTTCCTTTCGAATTCATTTTCTGTCATATGTATGTTTTCTCGTACTCCCTCTTCCAGATTATGTCTGAGAAGATTGAGGTCGTTGTGAGGAATTCTGTTAACTTTGGGGGAGGGCCCCCACTGGGACGATGCAACGCAGTGCCTGTACTACGTGGACGTGTACACTAATGACGTCCACAAATACAACGCCGTCACAGGAGAGGACAGCCAGTTGAACCTTGGAGGTGAGTTCATCTCGTCTAATAATCAGCTCTCCCGGTATGTCAGTTCGTATAACATATGTAACAATGGTCTGTAAATACGCGAGTCTGGACCAGTAAAACCAGTGAGTGAAATCATGAACATCGATTTACTCGAATTTTACACATGAAACTTTGATCGCAAAGGTTGTTGAGAACCGATTGCAACCCGGATAGGTTGAACTCATTTGATATACTGGTTACAAAGAGAACTGTGCATTGTTAAAATTCTTTATACATTTTAACATATAAACTTTTCCATGCAGACTTTAACAGGTGAATATTTACTTTACAAGAAGACAGTAGAATAGCACGTTTAATGTCTATGACGTCCACATGACGAACAGCATCACAAACTCAATAGCGGGTATCCCTACCGTGAAAGACAAGAACAGCAGTGCATCGAGGCCGACGGAATAGCTTAACATATTCTCCGCAAAATTTGCTGTAAAATCACAAACGTTTCATACCACACATGCTCTATAGAGAAGAGTACCGGTGAATTTGCAGCATGTTAATATTCCATAACTATTATTTGTATTTTGTATTTATACTGAGTAACCAGTCTTTTTTTCCAATGCCAATCAACCTGCGGGTCTCAAGCACAAGCTTCACTTTAGTCGTTACCTCTTACTTTCCATCAGTATATGCACTATTTGAACTGCCATGACATCGTGTTTCATCCCAGGAGGATCTATGGCGACTGTCATCATCCCTCGCCAGAAGGGCGGCTTTGTGGTGAGCCAGAAGACAGACCTCGCCATCGTGGACTCTTGGGACAGTGGCAAAGTAACTAGCATTGTGAAGGTCGAGACCGACCCTAATATGTTTAATGACGGCAAAGTTGATGCTTCCGGTAGACTCTGGATTGGTACGTTCATATGTTCTCATGTCTTGTGTTGAATGTGAGTGTTCCTTGACGCCAGCCAACACTGGCCAAGTCGTCAGAGGCTCTGACGTTCACAGTGCTTAGTTGCGTCCCTTGGGCACGCAAGAAACCCATGGTCGAACCCCAGGTGCTTGTTAATGCCAGGTGCTTCCTGGAAAACTGTCCAGCGGTAATGCAACCAGAATACTGTTTACAGAGGTGACCAAAGATCAATCGCTCATCCAATCAAAATGTATTACGACCAATTTCCTTGAAATATCTTAAAACTAGCAGGCCACTTGTACAGGTACGGCGGTCATTCTGACAGTCTGCTGTATAGAAAACCAGAAAAATAATGTATTTCATTTCACATGAAGCAAGCTATGCAGGACTAGCTACTTTATACTTTCAACATAGGGTCGTGTCCCTGTGATAAGGATATCCCTGACCCCCTAAAGATGCCGAAGTATCAGGCCTCACTGTTCAGCCTGGATGCCGATGGGAGCGTCAAGAAACAAATCAGCAACATCAGCCTCAGCAACGGCATGGACTGGACTGACGACAACAGCGTCATGTACTACATAGACTCCATGCCCAGCCAGGTATGGGCCTTCGACTTTGACATCACAGCTGGGACTATTAGTAAGTAGACTCGGGTACTCCAAGCAACCAGGACACACGTTCTGTTTTGAGTATTGTTCGGCTTTACAACGTTGTACGCCGCTATCCCACATGTCAAACGCCATTCATTGATCCATGGTGCATTTTTTTGGTAAAAATCGCTGTGCGCATAGACATAATTACAGTTACATCTTGAGAAGTTTGGGACAATTTGTATAAAATTATATTGCATGTCACTTGAAATTTGCTGGGACAAAACATTACAAATTAATGGATCTCTTCATAGATAACCTATTCGTAAAATTAATAATGTATGATAATATACAATTTAGGATTGAGTGAGTGAGTGAGTTAAGATTTTAAATCACATCGGCAGTATTTCAGCCATATCGTGGCTAAATCAAATTAGTAATTTTTAACAAGAAGACCATGTCACCAATCCCCCCCCCCGCAATGGTAAGATACTCTTCTTGAATATTTCAACTATTTATGATTATGTCAGACGTACGATTTGATGTGCCTCCGTAATGTTGATATAGAGTGGTACTGTTGATTTAAGTCATTAGGTTCTTGGATACCCACAAAGTGGAGAGAGAGTATTGAACGGCTTTAAAGTTCTGTTCCGGAAAGGGTCACTACCACCAATTTCCGTCGAAGTCAAACTTGTTGCGACGGAAATGCAAAAATTATTTTATTCTGAAATCCAAAACTACCAAAAGGCACCCGTTCACCACCAGACCTATATATCTGTTACGTTTGGTGAAGAAATAATAAACGGTTTTAAAGTCGAAGTCAAAGCTGTTGCCTCGGAAACGCAAAAAATATGTTTTTCTGACATCTGAAACTAGCAAAAGGCACAAGTTCACAATCAAACCCATCCTTGTGCAAAGTTTGGTGAAGAAATGTTGAACAGTTTTTATACTATTCTGGAAAAGACGATTTTCCACGGATGGACGGGCACAGTGTTGCTGCAACCTTGTTGAAGCAACGGTCATCATACATTACAGTTGTTTTGGGCACAGTGATCAGAGATGCAGGTTGTGATAGAAGAGAGCGTGCTGGCCTATAATTCTCCCTATAAGGAATGACGTGCAGCTTGAGATATGTTGGAGCAGTGTTATGAAAGGCCTTCTACATGCGTTGTATGGCACTGTTTTGTACTCTGTGTAGGCGGTCAGTGGGAGACTGTCGTGTAGGCGGTCAGTGGGAGACTGTCGTAGACCACACAATAGAGCGTTGCCATAGTCTAGTCTTGATGTGATAAGTGAGTGGACCAAGGTCCTGCAGGTGTCCTCTGTAAGGCATTCCCTGATGGTGACAAGATTCCTGATCTGGTAGTAGCAGGCAGGCAACTGTCAAAATACACCCCGAGAGTCAAAATGGTACCTCAAGCTCTTTGGTGCTATTCCTCCGATTCTTGGATCAAAAGATTATCAGTTCTGTTTTATCCTGATTTAATTTCAGCATGTTGACACTTGTCCAATCGTTGATATCCAATCTGCTGGTGGCACTCTCCAAGTAATTGCAAGATGGTATAACCTTGTAAATCTGTTTGTCATCTGCATAGACAAGGTATGGCAGATTATTACGGCGACATATTTCACCAATGGGTATAGAGTATAGGCAGTAGAGGACTGGTCAAAGTATTCTACATAAGAACAGGTATCTTCTAGACGGTGACTGAGAACAAACCATTGAAAAAATAACAAGACGACAAGGCACGCGAAAAAAGATATACAAACTCACTCTTAAGTGATATCTTAAGATGCCTTTGACAAAGGTAACTGTAGTGGTGGCTCAAAGTGCCTTCCCTTGAAATATTGAACCATATTGTTATTGTCATTATACAAACAACATAATGCTTAATACGAAGAACCACGTGTGAGAAAGACATATCTTGAGATGTCACTCATAAGTATGTCATCATACTTATCAATTTAAAGTGTCAAATAACCTTTTAATACGTCTGTTGAATGTACTATATTTCACATTGTATGTCAAGGTATGTGTGTAACAAGAGGTATGGATATATAAAAAATGTACTAAACAGTTATCTTCACGTTGTTTGAACTTTGTACGGTGGGATCTTTGTGAAATACATCAATTCCACTGCTTCAACATGCATTGGGATGTTAATGGACACAGCGAGAACCGAAAACGGGGTTTAGTGAGTTAGTGAGCATTTATCATGACATCGGATATCAACCATATCAATAGAAGTAGAACTTAAAACTCTGTTGGCGAAGAATAGTAAAACTACTAGTGTATCACAGATATTAAAGTAAAATTAGCATGTTATCGTAAAACGATATTAATACAAAGAACAATACAACACGATTTAGACAAGTCTAACCATACATTCACAGACCACATATTCTACGACCAAAAAGGTGGTCATGTTTTGGGACTTACCTACCCTCACAGGAGGACAATAATTTTTCCAATACTTCAACCCCCAGAAAACGGAGTTTAGTTACATCTCCACTTTGCACAAAGGCCAAATGGAATGTTTCACTGATACAGATATGGTCTTGAAAGTTCAGACGGACAAAACAAGCACCTGTTCTATCAAGGTAGACTTTTGTTTTGTATTTGTTTCAGGCAATAAGAGAACTGTAGCAGACTTTACCTCTACTGAAATCCCAGATATGGGTTTGCCTGATGGGATGGCTATTGATATTGCGGGGAAATTATGGGTGGCCTTTTGATGGTGGGAAAGTGGTTCGACTCGATCCAGAGACTGGTAAGTGGACATACATAGAGGTGACGAAAGGAGCATTTGTAGAAAAATAGAAAGTCAATCTTCCTGTATTGATGTCATAAAATTCGATCTAACACTGGCATTCTGTATGCAACTTGTCTTTCAGAACACTCTCTGTTTGTGTGTATGTGCATGTGTATGTGTGCGTGCGTGTGTGCAACTGAATGCCCAAACATAACTGATCAGTGCAAACGTGAACAACTAAAAGAATTGTTAACTCTTTGAAATACCATTGAGTGTTGATTCACGTAGATTTAGCTCACGTAATTGGCACATTTTCTTGAAACAAGGCCGACTTAAGTTGGTATAGAGTATGGTTCAACACAATGAACTGTATCTTGGTATATTTTAGATACAACACGCATGTAAAGCCAAAACTTACTCCTGATGGATTCTTTGACAAAATTACTTCAAATAATTCTGAGTGATTTGTCATATATTCGATAGGAAGCGAGTCTTCTTGTAGGATACGGGGCGAGTAGTCATGAATGGCTACAGAGCTCATGATGGCAGCCAAGATCCATCAGCAGAAACATCGTTGAAGTTTTGTTTGTTAATACGTCGTGAAAAGGATTGGAAAAGATGTTACCCTCAGTTCAGTTTTATCTTTAATTTGGTTCATACACCCACTGGAATCTTATTCAATAGATAATCGAGGTTGGACATTCGCTGACGTGGACTTTCTATATATACTGGTACTTGGACAGAACTGACAATCCGGGTTTAGAGTCATCTCCAGCAACCCAGCCAACAATGGCCATGGGTGGTCAGACAGGGCGACTTTCTTTATGCATGTCGTCATATTCCGTTTGTGTAGATCGTCGCTCTGATTGTTAGTCATTGGTTTATGTGGGGTTAGAGTCGATTGCAAAGTTAGAGTCAGACGTAACATAGCTGTAATTTTGTTGAGTATGTGTTTAGCAACAGAGAAATACACGCAATGCACTCAACAATTTTGGGGAAATAGTTTCGTTTAATAACATGGATTGATATTTGGTCTGTCCAGGAAAGGTCATCAGAACTGTCAAGTTCCCATGCGAAAGGATTACGTCGTGTTGTTTTGGAGGGGCGGACTTCAGGGACCTCTACGTCACATCAGCGACCCCGACACAACTCGAGAAAACATCACTGGCTGGGTCACTCTTCAAGGTCACGGGGCTAGGAGTCCGAGGGCGCAAAGCTAACATGTTCGCTGGATAAGCGGTTCTCCGTTCAATGCGTTTTCAAAACAAGCTCGTCCATTGCTTGTAAATCTAATTTCGATGTTATGCAAGGTTTTAAGTTTAGTGTATATCCAGACTGCATTTAGCAAGATATGCTGAATGGAACACAGGGATATTTTGTCTTCAAAAGCATGGAGTCGGTGCTTCGATTAATTAAGACCAATAAATATTTTGAAAACAAAATAGTTGCCTCCATATACAATAAAGGTATTCTAATTAAATGATGAATGGTAGCCTCCTACCTAAAACCTCTGATGCCAAATACTGGGACAGAACCCCCTCTTGTGTTGAGGCTATGACGCCAAGGACGCTAAACTCATGGACTGCTGATCATTATCATAACTCCCGGAAACATTTGTGTTGTAAACATTTTATTCGGGCAGTAGAAGTATAACACCGATTCACCCCTCATGGTCCCAGGTACGGCGATGTACCGTCCGTTGCAGGTGATATCCAGCCCGTTTTTATATTGCATTGTCCGTAATAGTGGTCTAAGTTTAAGGTTACATGCTAATTTTATTCCTCAACCTGTGATAATTTCATTTTTGCCATTCCCTTGTCGTGCTTGAGTGAATGAGTTTTACGTGTCTTTTAGCATTATTCCACGGCGGGGACCTCAGAAATGGGCTTCATTTATTGTACCCATGTGGGGAATCGAACCGGGGTCTTTGGCGTGACGAGCGAACGCTTTAACCATTTGGCTACCCTTTGTCGACAGATTTTATAACAAGACTGTATTTAATATCAATAAAGACTTGTTTTCGTCACTATATAGGTGAAATAATGTAGTTGTGACTCTGAAACGCACGCACTCACTCACTCACATAACACTGATTCTGGTCGTTGTTTATGAATACCTATGAATATAAACAGCTTCAAACATGTAGAATATATATATATATATATATATATATATATATATATATATATATCACATAGATAAATAAAACAATGCCCTTTTCTCCTACATGTTTCGTTCTCTACTCTTTAGGGAGATTGTAGCTGTTTCAGTATCATAAAAAATGATATAAAAAATGTAAGATACTGTAACTGCTACAATCTCCCTGAAGAGTAAAGAACGAAACATGTTGGAGAAAAAGGAATTCTGTTTTTATTTATCTATGTGATATTTTTGAATGAACACCTGTACCATTTTGGACATTTTGTGCGTTTGTATATAATGAAAACGTATATATATATATAAACACGCCTTTATTTGTGAATTTAAAGAGTATGCATATATATATAGTGTATGTATAGTCAAGCCACAATGTCATAAAGTGCACTTCGTCTTCAACTGAATATACATGTACATTCATATTCGAGTCACAATGTTTATCATTAACAATTACAATGGTTAAGTTTCCTCAAAGTGAATGAAGCGATCCTAAAATTGTCACTTGTCTCCCTTAGCTGTTAACATTCAGCTGTCGGATTTGTGTTGACTAAAGAATATACAGTGCTAAAGATTCTGACATAGTATTATCTGTCACAACTTTCTTAAGTTTGTCTACATTACATAAATGTGCTTGTAAATGGGTCTTCACTAGCGCACTACTAGAGTACTTTGAGTGTACAGCTGGAACAAGGCAAGGGTGTATGATAAGTCCTATACTGTTCACTTTGTTTTTTATGAGTTGGTAGATAATCACAAGTCAAATAATTGCAAGGGTATTTTTGTGAATGAGTATGCTGAAAATATTACCTTGCTAATGTTTGCAGATGAGTTTGTTAATGTTTGAGATTCTGTGGGAAGATTGCAACATCAGATAGATTGTTTAGCAGGATTTTGCAGTCAATATGGAGTGAAGAATAATTTAGACAAAACTAAAGTCATGGTATTTCGAAGATGTGGTGTAATAACAAAAAACGGAAAAGTGGCATTATAATGGTGTTCCTCTTGAAGAAGTGTCAGGGTATAGGTATCATGGCGTGTTCTTCACTACTAAGCTCTCATGGAGTTTGGCCAGAAATACCCGACCACAACAAGAAGAAAAGGCAATGTACATTTTGTTTAAGGACGTCTAACATCAATGAGTCTATGTTTCTATTTGACAGGATGATTTTCCCCATCTTATATCATGCATCAGGAGTTTGGGGTTTGAAAATGTCCAGGGTCTAGAAAATGTTCAACGTAAATTTCTCAGAAGAGTACTCATGTCAATTCAACCACTCCAGCAACAGTTTTATATGGAGAGTTGGGAAGGTATCCACTACATATTGCAACCATGCTCAACTCAATAAAATACTGGTTGAAAATTTTATACATTGTTACAACTAGATATCCAAAGGCTTGTTATCTGATGTTGCATCAGCTTGATGGAGTTGGTAGAAACACATGGGCAACAAAAATCAAATATTTGTTGAATATTCACGGATTTGGCTGCAACGGCTGCAAGATTGTTGGAAAGAAACATGGGCACATACCATAGGTGAAACCAGTAAATATAAATATTTCATACGCAAATCTCTGTTAGAACCTGAAAGGTAAGTCAGTACAACTTGAAAAGTAAAAAAACTAAGAATTGTTCTGAGCAGATTTAGACGTGGGAATCATTGTAGGCCGTTGAAACAGGTCTGTGGGGATTAGTTGCTAGAGAGGACAGAACATGTAAATATTATTTTGATAATTTGAAGGTATCTGCAGTTGAAGAATAAGTGCACTTTATCACTTCATGTCATTTGTATAACAAGTTGAGAAACAAGTTTTTTACCAAGTGTTTGTACAAGCACTTTATGTAATGTAGACACATTTAAGAAAGTTATGACCGATAATACTATGTCAGAATCTTTAGCAATGTATATTCTAAAGTGCACACAAATCAGACAGCTGATGTTAACAATGCCGAATATTACACTTTACACCGAAGCCATTATCATCCTTCATGTGCACACAACACGTGACGTTACCTTGATTCATTGATTACTGAGTAGGTTAACGTGTCCCTATGTCATACAGCCCGGTACAGATAGTGGGAAATAATGTTTGGTGTGCATATAATCTGTATTTGTGTGTAGGCTGAACAGTTGAAAAGTAGAACGCAGCATACATCATACAAATGTACACAATGGTCGCAATCATTGGACGATAAACACAGGTGAACACCATGCGTACCTCACTGTCTGCAAATGCTTTTGAACAAATGTAGATGCAGGAACAAAAAGGTCCGATACACGCATCAGAGTTTATTACATCTGTGTCAGGTTACAATTCGACACATGACATCCTTGAAACGTTGACATTGACTGATGAACAACTGTACAACGAATCAGGCCAGATGAGAACGGTTTCACAAGTGATGAGGTTTGATGAGATCTGATGAGCTCTGATGAGGTTACAAAAAACTACAATATATACACCCTGGATATAATGTCATGTGTTTTCAGAACGGATTTCCTGCCCTTATAATACCCTGGTTATACTGCCAAACTAGATATAATGCCATGTGCCTACGATTCTGGGAACAAAGTGTCATTTTTCCCTGGTTAGAAAGCCAATTACCCTGCCTGCATGTAGTATAGATACCTTAATTGGTTAATTGACATGACTCAAATTATTTGACCAATCCCAATGCTTTAAGTAGTCTTGGAATCCCGGGGCGGTGGGGTAGCCTAGTGGTTAAAGCGTTGGCTTGTCACGCCGAAGACCCGGGTTCGAATCCCCACATGGGTACAATTTGTGAATCCCCTTTCTGGTGTCCCCCGCCGTGATGTTGCTGGAATATTGCTTAGAGGCGTAAAACCAAATTCAGTCAGTCAGTCAGTCTTGGAATCCCAGATAGGATAACACACGTGACAACACACTTCCTGCCACCTACAAGACACCTGCAGTCCCTAGACGCTGGGATTATCCAGTCGTTCAAATCAGATTACAGGAGACATCAGTTCAAACAACTTGTTGAATGCATAGGGCCTCTGACTGTCCTACCTGGTTATAATGCATTTTAAATAACCAGGGTATATTCTATTTGTGTTTTGGCGTTCTGTTACCCAATATACACCACTTTCAATGGGTAAGCCCTAACTAGATGATGTACTTTTGGTTGGGGGGTGGGGGGTGGGGTTACATTCTCATTATCTTGGTCCTCCCTATACACATCGTCCAGCCGCCCATTATCAATTAATTATTCATATTTCATAATGATTGTATAACAATCATAGTGCATGAACCTTTTCCATGATATAGTGAGTGAGTGAGTTTAGTTTTACAGTAAACTCAGCAATATTCCAGCTATATGGCGGCGGTATGTAAATAATCGAGTCTGGACCTGACAACCCAGTGATCAACATCATGAGCATCAATCTGCGCAATTGGGAACCGATGACATGTGTCAACCAAGCCAGGGAGCCTGGCCACCCGGTCCCGCTAGTCGCCTCTTACGACAAGCATGGGTTGCTGAAGGTACATTCTCACCCGGATTCCCATGAAATAACAATTAAATTGACAGTGTAAGTTGTATGAATAAACAATGTATGTTACTAATGTGTGTATTGTAGCCAGGAGGGAACATAATTTTGATCGTAAAAGAAACCAGAAAAAGCAAAATGTAGAACAGAAGTAAAGCAATCGTGAGAGGTCCTTGTTTTCTGCCCTCACAACCTAGTACTGTATTGTCAGATTACAGCAAATATGATAAACATTAATGGATGTACTCTGCAAGAAAATGTGATAACGACATCGGAGATATCATATCAGAGATAACAACAAAGGTCAAGGTCGTACCTAACACATGTTGGTGTCACTATCAGTATCAGTATATAAATAAAATAAATGGCATTATGTCGGATGGAATATTCCAACGTTAGGTGCAGTGTCGGGGCCGGATATAGTTGAAGTATTCATTTGATAAACCGTACAGTTTGTGGAGGATTTGAAATGAGGTTTACCCCTATTACCTCTTGCTGTAGTGTTTATGTTGTTCTTGTTTTAATTGTTAAGTCTAACAGGAGAGACCGAAGTCCGCGTGTGATCACGAGGCAGGCCACATGTTATATTGTAAAATTAATCCAGTTCACAAATCAATAAAGTAGGTATCAAAAATTGTGCAACACTATAAATTCGAAAATAATATAACACAAGCGAAATGATAAAAGCATTGAAGGCAGTGATGGTAATCATATACACCTCTCAGCAACAGAATACAACACCAAAAATATGGTCTAGGCGAAATTATCCAAGGGCGGAGGGTGATCATACAATATGCTGGTGTTCTTGAGACTTGAGATGTAATGTGACATGAGGGACAAGAGCTAACTCGCCTAACATACCTAGACAGACGCAAGAATATTTTACAGTAGTGCAGATGATTCTCGAAGGTTCTTGTAAGCCTTTCCAGATCATTCTTCTAAATCTGAGAAAGGCAAAATATAGAACACTGCTATCCATTACAGAATCTACAGGTAGAATGTTTATCAGTTGAAGCATTGTTGTACAAGGTATAACACTGCCTCATAGCAACAGATAAGCGTCCTATAACTGGAATATTGCTAGTGAAATATATTTGCTGATCAGATGTGGTGCGAGACAACCTGTTCCTTTCGAATTCATTTTCTGTCATATGTGTAATCTCTTGTAGTCCCTCTTCCAGATTATGTCTGAGAACATTGAGGTCGTAGTGAGGAATTGTGACTTTGGGGAGGGCCCGCACTGGGACGATACAACGCAGTGCCTGTACTACGTGGACGTGTTCGCTAATGACGTTCACAAATACAACGCCGTCACAGGAGAGGACGCCCAGTTGAACCTCGGAGGTGAGTTTATCTCTTTTAATAATCAGCTCTCCCGGTATGTGTTATGTTATGGTTATGTGTTACAACGTTTCAACTATGTAAAACCAGTGAGTGAGTGAGTGAGTGAATTTGGTTTTATGCCGCTTTTAGCAATATTCCCGCAATATCACGGCGGGGGACACCAGAAATGGGCTTAACACATTGTACCCATGTGGGGAATCGAACCCGGGTCTTCGGCGTGACGAGAGAACGCCTTAACCACTAGGCTACCCCACCGCCCCTGTAAAACCAGTGCGTGAAATCATGGGCATCGACTTACTCGAATTATACACATGAAACGTTGGTCGCAAAGGTTGCTGAGGACCAAATGCAACTCGGATAGGTTGGACTCATTTGAGACACTGGCAATAAAGAGAACTGTGCATTGTGAAAAATTCTTTCTAAATTTTAACATATAACAACAATTAAACGTTTCCATGTAGACTTTAACAGATGAATATGTACACCACAAGAAGATAACAGAATAGCACATTTAATGTCTATGACGTCCAAATGACGAACAGCATCACAAACTCAATAGCGGGTATCCCTACCGTGAAAGACAAGAACAGCAGTGCATCGAGGCCGACGGAATAGCTCAACATATTCTCTGCAATACTTGCTGTAAAATCACAAACGTTTTCTGTCGGAATTGGTACACAACGTATACGCCTTTCCGTTTCATACCACACATGCTCTATAGAGAAGACATCCGGTGAATGTGCAGCATGTTAATATTCAATAATTTTAATTTGTGTTTTGTATTTTTTCCAATGCCAATCAACCTGCGTGTCTCAAGCACAAGCTTCCCTTTAGTCGTTACTTCTTACTTTGATCAGTATAAGCACTATTTGAACTGCCATGACATCGTGTTTCATCCCAGGAGGATCTATGGCGACTGTCATCATCCCTCGCCAGAAGGGCGGCTTTGTGGTGAGCCAGAAGACAGACCTCGCCATCGTGGACTCTTGGGACAGTGGCAAGGTCACCAGCATTGCAAAGGTCGAGGCCGACGCTAATACGCTCAATGACGGCAAAGTGGATGCTTCCGGTAGACTCTGGATTGGTAGGTTCATATGTTCTCACGTCTTGTGTTGAATGTGAGTGTTCCTTGACGCCAGTCAACACTGGCCAAGTCGTCTGAGGCTCTGAAGTTCACAGTGCATAGTTGCGTCCCTTCGGAACGCAAGAAATATATGGTCGAAACCCATGTTAATGCCAGATGCTTGCCAATACCGAAACTGTCCAGCGGTAATACAAGCAGAATACTGTTTACAGAGGTGACCAAAGATCAATCACTCACCCATTCAACATGCCTTACGACCAATTTCCTTGAGATATTCCAAAACTAACAGGCCACTTGTACAGGTACAGCGATCATTCTGACATCCTGCTTTATAAGAAAGACCATAGAGAAATAATGTGTTTCATTTCACATGAAGCAAGCTATGCAGGAATAAAGTTCTACTTTATACTTTCAACATAGGGTCGTGCCCCAATGAGAACAACCCTGACCTTCTACAGTTGCCGAAGTATCAGGCCTCACTGTCCAGCCTGGATGCCGATGGGAGCGTCAGGAAACACATCAGCAACATCAGCCTCAGCAACGGCATGGACTGGACTGACGACAACAGCGTCATGTACTACATCGACTCAATACCTAGGCAGGTCTGGGCCTTTGACTTTGACATCACAGCTGGGACTATAAGTAAGTAGACTCTGGTACACGGGTAATAAGGGTAACCAGGGCACACGTTTTGTTTTGAGTATTGTTCAGCTTTACAACATTGTACGCCGCTATCCCACATGTCAAACGCCATTCGTTGATCTCCGGTGCATTTAAAACAATCGTGGTCCGCATAGATGTATTGACAGTTATACCTTTAGAGGTTTGGGACAATTTGTCTAAAATTACATTAAATGTTATTTGAAATTTACTGAGAAATCATTACGAACTGATGGAGTTCTTCATCGATAACCTATTCTGATTTAAAGAGATGTACTTTTACGTTCTTCCTAAAATGTTTCTCAGGGTAGATGGCTTATCGTTCTACAGTGTTGCTGCCTTCTTGTTGAAGCATCTGTCTCCCTACATTACAGTTTGTGTTTTGGGCACAGTGATCAGAGATGCAGATTGTGATCGAAGATACCGTGCTGGCTCATAAGGGATGACAAACCCCTTGAGATATGTTGGAGCAGTGTTATGCAAGGCCTTGTACACGTACATCAAGATCTTGTACTGGCACCGGAGGTGAAATGACAACCAATGCAAGATCCTCATGATCGGTGTGATATGGTCGTGTTTCCGTGTGCCAGTAATAAGTCGCGCTGCACTGTCCTGTTCTGTCTGTAGGCAGTCTGTGAGAGACTGTGTAGTCTCTGTAGGCAGTCTGTGAGAGACTGTGTAGTCTCTGTAGGCAGTCTGTGAGAGACTGTGTAGTCTCTGTAGGCAGTCTTTGAGAGACTGTGTAGTCTTTTAAGGCAGTCTGCGAGAGACTGTGTAGTCCACACAGTAAGGCGTTACCATAGTCCAGTCTTGATGTGATAAGTGAGTGGACCAAGTTCCTGCAGGTGTCCTCTGTAAGATGGTGCAAAGACTCCTGATCTGGGTGTAGCAGGATTTAGAAACAGCATTTCTGTGTGATCAGTTCTGTTTTATCCTGATGTAATGTCAGCATGTTGGCACTTGCCTCTCCGTAATTGCAAGGTGGTATAATTTGTAAATCTTTGTTATCTGTTACCTTACATCTGCGTAGGCATGGTGTGGCAGATTATAACGGCGACATATTTCATCCATGGGCTTAGAGTAAAGGCAGGAGAGGATTGGTCCAAGTACGGATCCTTGTCGCACGCCAAAGAGGAGACATTTTTCTCCTGAACATGCTGATCCTATTGCCACGCAGTGAGTTCGTGTGCACATGTAGGACTGGAACCCAATGAGAGCACCGCCTGATATATTATGGCTGTATCGAAGGCGTCGAAACAGTATATCGTGGTCAATGGGGTGAAAGGCGGCTGACTGGTCTAGAAGTTTCAGTGCTACGGAGCTGTTGTTGTCTAGGGCCTGTGCAGTATCGTGATGAACCATAAGACGGGCAGTCTTTGTAGAGTGTCCGATTCAGTAAGCTGACTGAAAGTAGTGAAGAACCTTAGTAGCGAAGAAGTCGCTGAACTTGTTGGCCAAGGCTTTATCAGATGAGCAGGTTGGTAGGATAGTTTCACCTGATGGTTCCATAAGACTCTTCTTTGTGAACGTGAACAGTTCTTTGTGATCTGTACTGCATTCAGTGATTTTATCTTAATCATAGTCCTTTGGGGGTTTTAATGAGACGTTTATTGACGTTTATTCCGCCGTTCCGCACCAACCTGTGATTTGTTGCCGCTCTTCGTTTTGGAGGCATACCGAGTGTGTAGTCGCAAATTCGTAGTATTCCAAACAATAACGCCAAGAATCCACACGCTTGAACAATTTCAAAGCCTAACACTAACTGCTCGACGTGAAAGCGGAAATATAACTTTTTTGCAAGCGAAAATATAACTTAATGCAGCATACAAAGAGGATAGACTAACTGTGTGAATCTAAAAAAAATCAATGGATGAACGAAAGGTGACGTCATCAGAAGCAGACACATGACGTCATAACATAACTGGAAGTGACGTAAGCAAACATAAAAGAGCGGGACGAATGAACTGAAAGTAAGTGTGAATGGTTTCAATAAACGGATTGAGTGTTAAGCACTAAATGAGATTATTGACTAGTTTACACGTTCCTTATAGAGCTTATCATGAATACATAATAAAAAGTGAAAACTCCCCGTTTGTTCTATATTTAGGTGTATAACGATTCAGAGTGACAAACACCTCCACAAGGCTGTAAGACCAAAAGGATGATATTAACTTTCTGATAGTCAGCAATGTTCAAAGTTCCTCATACGGTGACCGATGATCAGGGAACTGTTATTCGGTTGAAAAAATAACACTACGACAAGGAACGCAAAGAAAGAGACATATACTCAGTGTGAAGCAAAATATGTTTAAAAATGAAATCTTTAACAATGTGCACTGTGGCGGTGGCTAAAAGTGCCATACTGTTACAAACAATATAATGCTAATACGTAGAACCACGTGTGAAGGTATGTGCACATGTTGTCTTTTTTTACGAAAACCTCTCCTTTAAGGAAGACACATCTTAAGATATTCACCCATAAATTTGTCTTCGTACTCATAAATTCAAAGTGTCAAATTGCCCTTTAATACGTCTGTTGTATGTACTATATTTAACATTATATGCCAAGGTATGTTTGTAACAAGAAATATGGACATATAGAAATGTATCAAACAGTCTTCACGTTGTTTGAACTTTCAAACGGCGTTTAGTGAATGAGTGAGTTAACATTAATCGTCCCATCGGCAATATTTCAACCATATAGGGACGAGAACAATTAATGATCATATCACAGATCAATTAAAGAAGAAATTAACTACGTGTTGTCGAATAACAGTAAAACGACTAGTGTATCACATATAACACGATATAATTAAAGAGAACAGTACAATACAAAAAGACTATAGATTGTTTACAACTGAAGGTAGATCACCATACTAGGAACCATGGGGACGTACGGTACTTTCGCTTTCTGCATGGACCTTAGCTGGATTTACACCATCCCTTCATCTGTTATAGCAATTTATAAATACAAATGGAGGCATACATTAACAGGATACATATTCTATGTTTTAACATATGGTAAGGTTAAATGTACTATGAATGTATTGTGACTTACCTACCCTCCCAGGAGGGCAAAATTTTAACAATACTTCGACGCCTTGAAAACGGAGTTTTGTTACATCTCCAGTTTACACAAAGGCCAAATGGAATGTTTCACTGATACAGATACCGTGTTGAAGTTTTGACGCACAAAACAAGCACCTGTTCTATCAAGGTAGACTTTTGTTTTATATTTGTTTCAGGCAACAAGAGAACTGTAGCAGACTTCAGCTCTACTGAAATCCCAGATATGGGGTTTCCTGATGGAATGGCGGTTGATACTGAGGGAAAATTATGGGTGGCCTGTTTTGACGCTGGGAAAATTGTCCGAATCGATCCCGAGACTGGTAAGTGGACATACACGGTGGTGACAAAAGGAACATTTGTAGACAAAATAGAAATTCAATCTTCCTGTATTGATGTCATAAGATCTCACTTTGTCATTCTGACTTTTCTGTATGCAGCATATCTTTTAGAACACTGTCTTTTTGTGTATGTATGTGCATGCGTGCGCGCGCGCGTGTATGTGTGTGCGTGCCACTCCATGGCCAACCGCGGCTGTGCATTACTGAATACATTCGAGTGTTGATTCACGTAGATTTACCACATGTAATTTGCAAATATTATTGCAATGTATGGTGTACAGTATGGTTGAACAAATTTAACTGTATCTTTGATATGTGGTTATTTACAAGACGTATGTAAAGCCAAAACATACTCCTCATGAACTCTTTGACCAAATTACTTCAAATCATAAGCACATTCTGGCTGATTTGTCATATTTTCGATAGGAAAATGAGTCTTCTTGTAGGATACGGGGCGAGTAGTCATGAATGGCTACAGAGCTCATGATGGCAGCCAAGATCCACTAGCAGAAACATCGTTGAAGTTTTGTTTGTTAATACGTCTTGAAAAGGATTGGAAAAGATGTTACCCTTCAGTTCAGTTTATCTTTAATTTGTTTTATACACCCACTGGCATCTTATTCAATAGATAATCGAGGTTGAACATTCGCTGACTTGGACTTTCTGTATATACTGGAACTTGTCCAGAATTGAAAATCCGGGTTTGCAGTGATGTTCAGCAACCAAGCCAACAATGGCCATGGGTGGTCAGACAGGGCGACTTTGTTTATGCTTTGTTTTTGTGTAGATCGTTGCTCTGATTGTTAATCATTGTTTAATGTGGGGTTAGAGTCGATTGAACAGATAGAGTCAGCCATAATATAGCTGGGATTTTGTTGAGTATGTGTTTAGCAACAACGAAACACACACAATGTACTCAACAATTTTGGGGGAAATAGTTTCGTTTATTAACATGGATTGATATTTGGTCTGTCCAGGAAAGGTCATCAGAACTGTTAAGTTCCCATGCGAAAAGACAACGTCGTGTTGTTTCGGAGGGGAGGACTTCACTGACCTCTACGTCACATCAGCTGCCCCGGCACAACTGGAGAAAACATCATTGGGTGGTTCACTCTTCAAGGTCACGGGGCTAGGAGTCCGAGGGCGCAAAGCTAACATGTTCGCTGGATAAGCGGTTCTCCGTTCAATGCGTTTTCAAGAAAAAGCTCGTCCATTATTTGTAAATCTAATTTCGATGCAGGGTTTTAAGTTAAGTGTATAACTGGACTGCATTTAGCAAGATATCTCCATGAAACACAAGGATATGTGCAGATCTTGCTGTAAATACAGCGTGGTTTTGTCTTCAAAACCATGGAGTCGATGCTTCGATTAATTAAGACCAATAAATATTTTGAAAACAAAATAGTTGCCTCCATATACAATAAAGGTATTCTAATTACATTCTAATGGTAGCCTCCTACCTAAAACCTTTGATGCTGAATACTGTGTCAGAACCCCCTTTTGTGTTGAGGATATGATACCAAGGACGCTAAACTCGTGGATTGCTGATCATTGATTTAAACATATTTTTTTCACAAATGTGAAAGGGATTTATCCAACATAAAATACCCGCTCCTAAATATTTACATACATGCATTTTTCAATTATATACATCTTAGGAAAGAATAGAGAGAGGAGATAGGAAAGTTGAGTGAGTGAGTGAGTTAAAATTTATAGTCACATCGGCAATATTTCAGCCATATTGTGACTTAAAAAGTTATAAATTAACAATAAATACAAATACATTATAAAACACCTGTCAACAAAGGACAGTAAAATAACTAGATTATCACGATAATAAATTTAAGACTAGTAATTAAATCTAAAATAGTTTACCTATAAATGACAATACAGTATAAAAACAGGCTATAGATTGCCAACAACTAAAAGGTAGATCACCATATTAGGGACCATGGGGACTTACAGTACATTTGCTTCCTGCATGGGCACTAGCTGGATTTACATCAACCCCTCAGCTTGTAGCAATTAAGATATATCTAGCCATACATTAATATTACACATATTCTACGATTAAAAAACGGAAAGTTGAAATTTACTTTGAATGTTTTGGGACTTAGGTACCCTCTCAGGAGGACAATAAGGTTACAGTACTTTAACCCCCCTCGAGGATACATCCACTAACAATCTGTGTTACTAATTCAAACTTCCAATTATAAAACATTTAGCTATTTACAAATCTGTTAATAAATTTAATTCTTTTAAAAATGCAATAATTAAATGAGGACTTATATTAGTAAAAAGATCCTTCATAGTTCGTGATTTGAAATAGATATCCCATGTCATGGAATATTCAACACAGTCAAGCAGGACATGCTTGACCGTGATTCTTTCATCACAAGGGATACAAAACGGAGGATCCTCACCTTTCAATAGGTACTCATGAGTATATCTTGTGTGGCCAACACGACATCGTCGTATGATGACCTCTTCAAATCTGGACTGACAACCCAAGTAGGTGTAACCGATAGTTGGTTTTATTGCATGTAATTTATTGATACATGCTTGGGTGTCCCACTTCTTTTGCATCAGATCACGGATGTAAGTCCTAATGCTAGCTTTGTAATCAGAGTATGGAATAAGAAGTGGTGTCACGGATTTGTTGAGTGCTGCCTTAGCAGCAAAATCAGCCATTGTGTTCCCAGAAATGCCAACGTGGCTGGGTAACCAACAAAAGACGATGTCGCATTGGCCAGTAGCAAGATCATTATACAATTCAATGATTTCTATTAAAAGTGGATGTTTACAAGAAAGATTTTAATGGCCTGAAGGCATGAAAGAGAGTCAGAAAATATTAGATATTGTTTATATTTAGGGTGTCTATTTATATATTTAAGAGCTGTTAGTATTGCGTTTGCTTCTGCTGTGAAATTGAACTGTCAATGGGTAATCTGGAATATATTGTTTTGGACCCAATGACAGTGGTACAAGCCGCTGCGCCACTATCCTTGGACCCATACGTAAATAGGGATTTATATGTATTATATTTACTTTTTAATTGATTATACTCTTGTTTATATTGTAATTCATTAGTTTCTGATTTTTATAATGTAGTGAGAGTTAGGTCGACTTGTGGCCAATTGCCAAGGAGGAGAAGAAAGAAGACGGGAAGGAGATATACTTTCCAGCTCAATGCTGGCTGCAGAAATGAATGGCTTAATTCTTAGCCAAAGAGGCGGAACAAGAGAAGATTTCTAGGTGTATAAATCCTCATAGAGAGGATTAAGGACACACATAAATGCAGGGTTAGGCTTGTGAGAATATAGTTTTGTAACATATTGTAATGACAAATTTATACGGCGTTGGGTAAGAGAAGACTCATCTGCCTCAACGGGAGAAGTTCAGAAAGAGCCAAGCCAAAGTCTTAAGCCTTGGTGGTGAATGGAATCTAAGAGTTTTAAGTTACTTTTGCAGGCTCCACCATATACGATGGAGCCATAATCAAGTTTCGAGCGAATCAATGATCGATAAAGTTGTAGGAGGGTAGCTTGATCCCCTCCCCACTTTGAATTGGAAACTACTTTCAACAAGTCAAGTGCCTTCAGGCATTTTGTTTTAAGTGATTTAATATGGGGCAGAAACGTTAAATGTGAATGAAAAATTAAACCCAAGAACTTGGCCTCCTTAACAACTTTGAGTGCCATTTAAAATTAAGTCTGGGTCCTTATGCGGCTTTTATTTTCTACAGAAGTGTAGACAATTAGTTTTTGACTTAGAAAATTTAAATCCGTTTTCAAGACACCATTTATTTATTTTGTTCACACATAACTGCAGTTGCCGTTCAATAGTATGCATATTTTTACCACGACAAGAAACATTAAAATCATCCACAAAAAGTGATCCATCGATTGAATCGTTTAAAACCATGGATAAACTGTTGATCTTAATACTAAACAATGTGACAGACAAAATATTTCCTTGTGGGACACCCTGATCCTGATTATAAAGGTCAGACAGGGTTGAACCCACTCGAACTTGAAATTGCCTGTCTGTTACAAACTGTGAAATAAAAAGATTTAAACGACCCCTCAAACCAAAATCATGTAAATCCTTTAAAATGCCATGCTTCCAGGTGGTATCGTATGCTTTCTCGAGGTCAAAGGAAATCGATACGGCATTTTGTTTATTCACTATTACATTTGTAACAAAGGATTCTAGTCCTACCAAATGATCAATGGTATTACGATTTTGTCCTGAAACCACATTGAATATTTGTGATTAGGTTATTGGTTTCAAGATACCATGTTAATCTATTGTTAACCATTCGTTCCATGGTTTTACAGACACAGCTCGTTAAATAGATTGGCCTGTAATTCGACGGATGTGTATGATCCCGGCCAGGCTTTGGAATAGGGACTTCAGTGGCATTACTCCACGAGGTTGGGAAATTCCCTGAAGTCCATAGTTGATCAAAACTTTCTAAAAGGATTTCTAAACACGATTTAGGTAAATGCTTCAAGAGCTGATAGTGAATATTGTCAGCTCCTGTTGCTGTATCATGAGCTTGGTCAAGGGCGGTATGGAGCTCATGTAACAAAAATAGTTCGTTGTAATCTTCACCATTGTCTGAGTTAAAAGAATTTTTTTCTTCTCTTGTTGTCTCTGATACTTTTGAAACTCAGGGACATACTTTGATGAAGATGAATGCTTGGTAAGAGTTTCACCAAGTTTATTTGCGATGTCAGCTTTATTAGTTAATAAAATATCACCGTCCTTCAAATGATGAACAGGCGGTAGGGTAGCCTAGTGGTTAAAGCGTTGGTTCGTCACGCCGAAGACCCGGGTTCGAATCCCCACATGGGTACAATGTGTGTAGCCCATTTCTGGTGTCCCCCGCCGTGATATTGCTGGAATATTGCTAAAAGCGGCGTAAAACCAAACTCAGTCAGTCAGTCAGTCAAATGATGAACAGTAGATTTGGAACCTTTGCCCCTTATTCTTTGAATCATGTTCCACACCTTTGACATAAGTGTACGGGAATTTATTTGGGAAACATAATTTCGCCAAAGATTGACGCTTGTTTTGTTTAAAAGAACGTCTAGCCTTAGCATTTGTAATTTTGACTTTGTCTAAATTATGGACAGTAGAATGTAGGCGAAAATATTTTTCGGCTTTCTTCCAACATTTTCTGGCCTGTTTACATTCATGATTAAACCATGGTTTACGAACATGTGGAATTGCAGAGGACTTAGGAATTCCTTTATCAGCAATGTCATTTAGTATATCCGAAAAAGAGTGTATAAGATCTTCACTGTTCCTAAAAAGATCATGCTTCAAGTGTTAAACACACAGAGTCTCATATAATGACCAATCAGCCCTGGCGAAGTTCCTTCTTGATAAAGGTAGATCATCACCAGGGTTGATTGTTTTGAGAATGGTGGGGAACTGATAACTCCCACATAGGTTATCATGGACCATCCATTTAAGTTCATTTGACAAGCTGGGGTCAGCGAGAGACAGATCCAGGGAAGAATATGTTCCCGTAGCTGGATATGTGGCTGAATTGTCATTCAAAATACATAAATTATTATCGGAAATGAATTCCTCAAGCATTTTACCTCAGGATTAGTATGGACACTTCCCGTAAGCGTGTTGTGTCCGTTCAGATCACCCATGATAATGCACGGTTTTGGAATCTGGTCATAAAGATTTTGCAGATCTGACAGTCGGATACCAGAAGATGGTGGGATGTACAAGCTGCATAGCGTCAACGCAATGTGTAAAGTCAGACGAACAGCTACAGCTTGGAGATTGGTATTTAGCGGGACAGGACTATGTATAATACCCTGCCGGACCAAAATAGAAACACCACTAGCTGCTCTATCTCCTAAAGGGGAAAAGAAATGATATTCACTGTATTGTCTTAAGTTGAACGTATCTGTATTTTTAAGAAAGGTTTCTTGAAGACAAAATGCTGATGGATGAAAGTCCTGTATCAATAAATTGTATTTCATTTAAGTTATTTTTAAGACCTCTGCAATTCCACTGAATTCGATTGAGCTACTGAGTCATGGTGCCTCAATTGGTAATCACCCTCGTTAATGTGAGGAGGAGCTATTCCTCCGCCTGTCCTGTGAAGATAGCGTAACCTCCATGTCTAGAGGTCCAAATGGGTTCTCTAGAGGAACCACTAAAGGTGAAGGGATGGTTGGTGTCTGTTTTTTATTCATTTTTTTCCTTTCGTTTTCGACAAGTAAAGTGTGTTGGGCTCCTTGTCAGACGTTTTTGATTGTGTCTCAGTCTGAGATCCAGATGCTGCTGTTGTGACTGTGGAAGTCGATGGTATGACTTTTGAAGTCAAAGGTTTGAGAAATGTTGAATTAACAGGTTTTTCCGAGCTGACCC